TTGTTACATCGCACCCTGACTGGCTCGTCTCCTCCCCGAGACCCCTCTGCAAGGGGATCTCCAGTGGCCTGCTAAGGTTGTAACTCTTTATGAGTAGAATGCCTCATCTTTCTCCAAGGTTGGTGGTTTCAAACTGCTGACCTGTGGTTAGTAGCCCAACATGTAACCCTTATGTCACTAGGCAATCTTGGACCTACATGAAGAAACCAAAATCTTACTGAAGAACCGGTAGATTTACCATCATTTCCTTAGCCTCAGGGATCTACTTTATTCTATAATAGGCAGAATAATGGCCCTGAAAGAGGCCCGTGTCCTGATGCCCAGAACCTACCATGGTAAAGGGGACTGTGCAGATGTGGTTCAGTTAGCCACCTTGAAATAGGAAGATTATCCTGGAGCATAATGTAATCACACAGGTAGTTACAGACTAACCGGTGAGACGTACAGCCTAGTAGAAAAATAAGCCAGTCATATAATCGATGGTATACACACAAGTCAGCCCAAAAGGTCACTAACATGTAAGAGGAGTTCAAACAGTGTGTGGGAAAATTCCATTATAATTACACTTTTCCACAAACTTTTTGAAGTCCTCTCCTAGGAATAAGCAGCCCAACTACCCATTAACTTTTATTCCTATAAATATAACTAGCAAGAGAGAAATGGTTTAATTAGTTTATATTGAAACTTTTCTCTTGCAAGTTTAAAATAAAATAGGTACTTTTCTTATTTCTAAGTTGACAGAAAATTTTGGGGGCCTTACTTTTTTAACATTTGGCACATTTTGGATGGGGGAAGTCCCAAAATGTTTTAAAATTTTAATTATTTTAATTATTCACTTAATAGAATGAAATTTAAAGTAGGGAATTCCAGAATAAGACACATGAAGTCCTCTGCTGAGATCTTTGAAAGTGCCCCGATTCTGAAAGATTCTCTGAGAACTGACTATTGTTTTGAAAATGATGATGGAAACATATGTACAAATGTGCTTGACACAATGGATGTATAGATGGATTTTGACAAGAACTGTAAGAGCCCCAGTATGATGATTTTTTAAAATAAATAAATAAAATTCTGTATCAGTATTAACTCCCAATAAAATGGTTTTGGGGGAAAAAAAGAACTGACTATTGAATTATTTTTTTAATTTCTCTTCCTTTAGTTTTTAACAGCTATCATTTATTTCCATTACTTGACACGAGAAGAAATTGGCACATGGTATATAGTCAATAAAATGTTATTGAATTAACTGATAGATTTTAATTAATGTGAACATTAATGCACAGTAATACACTATAGGGTAAAGGACCCAATTTTATTCTAAATACAGTAGGCTTCAAGGTCAGAGAAATAACCTTGGAGGGATGGAAACGTCCAGCCCGCAGGCTGTACAAGGTCTGAAAAACTCTCACTAACAATTAACATCACACCTCTCACCAAAGAGAAGCACTTCCAGCCATCACATTAGGGATGAGTTAATTAAATGCTTATGGCATGTGAATGATGTAAATATCCACATGGCCCTTGACAGAAAAACTGTTCCCCAACCCTGGACGAGGACGTCCACACTACACCTGAGAATGTGTGCTTGGCAAGTACACATAGACAAATGTAGGGGATCACGGGGAGTCACTAGGAAAATTAACAGATAACCACAAGTCAAGATCAGTAAACACTAAGGATACAATCTTGTATCAAAGCAATGCCTCTTCTCAGGAAACCATCTCTCTCCTTGGCACTTAGCCTCTCAGCCATGTGACCACTTGGCCTTTGCCTCCATTGGCCAGGAAGTCTGTCCGACACAGGCCTTCCTACCTCATGTTCTCAGCAACAGATCTGATTTCTATATGAGATCACAAAACCTTAATTAACAAAATATGTCAAAAACGTGAGGCTTTTGTTTCTTGTCGTAGCCTCCGCTTTGGTCCATACGTTTGGGAAAGTTGTGTTTCCATTTAACCCCTTCTCTGAGAATTTTCCACCCTAATTTACACCACATCAGGGCAGCAGTTTGGGCATCTTGAGGGGCATCCTTTTTTTTTTTTTTTGCCCCCTGGAAAGGCTTTCTTATTGGGGTGGGGGTGGGGGATGGACAACGACGACATGGCACTCAATCCTTCCTGGCAGCGGCCTTCCTCATGGCGTCCAGCACGTTGCTCAGCTCCTCTCTCTTCCTCGTGGCCCAGTTGTGTGTGCCCACCCGCTTCTTGGTGATCTTAAGTGCCCGCTTCTCCTTGGAGACCTTGAGCAGCTCCATGGCCCTTCCCTCGTAGAGTGCAAAGCCATACACCGCCCGGATCGTGTCCCGCACGAACGTGGTGTGTTTGGTGAGGCGCCCGCGGCGGCGACTGGGCCTCCGCTTGCTCACGTTCTCCGTCACCTTGTGGCCCTTGTCGAGGCCCACGGCCATAGGGCAGCGCCCAGCCATGGCCCAAACCGTGCTGCAGCTCCTAAGGGTCCGATGGCAGCGGATCGAGGGGCATCTTTTTGTACGGAGAAAAAAAAGAACTCTGAAGGGGCAAGATCAGGCCTATAAGGTGGATGGGGGTAAGGTTTCCCCAGGGAAATTCTGATAGGATGACCCTTGCTACCCTTGAAGAATGAGCCTGTGCACTGCCCTGACAGCGGTGGGGGGGGGGGGACCCTTGGGACAACTTCCTGATCCTTGACTCAGCAACACCGTGTTCAATGTTCTTACAGCTTCATCCTAGGAAGGCCACGTACTGATCCTGATGCACAGATATGTCCAGCTTACTCCATAGGAATCCTAAAACACAGTTGCTAGAACCTTCTGAGCTGACCTGATTGTCTTGAATTTAATTGGCCCAGCAAATCCCCTCAGAAGCTACTCTTTTGCTTGGACCTTTTTGTAAAAAACCTTTTGAACTTATGTAATCTGCATTCAACCATTCACCTAGTTACTAAAATGTACCCTCCCCAAAACCAATGCTCACCAAGCTAAGACAAGTACAATACTGAGAGAACTTGTCTGCAGCCCTTCCCAGATCACATAGACATGGCTAAAGACATTTCGTTTGGGATCGACCCATGCATGCATGTGTGAACTCAAACTCTCATACAAATATTCATTGACTTACCGGTTATTTATGGGCTGTGCCACGTGTGGGCAGTAGGGGAGTCGATGTTCATTATTTATGTATCCTATTTCTAGTTGATGATCCACCTACTTACTAAAATGTACTATGCACAAAACCAGTACTTGTGATGTTTTTAATACTCAAAACCAATACTGATTGACAGGTGCTCATGCACAGCAGTGAAAAATGTGGCCCACCTTATATACAGTCCAACTGAGGTAGAATAAAGAGATACTCTGCCTGCTTGTTTCAGCTGTCCCGCCATAATCCCTCACATCGGATATTTATCGCCACATTTTGTTTCTTTTTATTGGCAATTCTGATGTTAAAATGGCCCCAACCACGCAGGTGAGGGATGATGTCAGTATTCCTAATCACAAGATGACTCTCATTAACTGACACTTCCCATGGATGACAATAATAAAGAATCTGCTGGTTATTTTATTACCATGTACATCTATAGTATCTGAAATTTTCTGTAATAAACAAAGTCACTGCCATCAAGTAGCAAACATCAAAGTGCAAGACAAGAAGAATTCTGGCTCTGATGGGCAAGGTTATGGTCATGTGTCAGCTTGGCTGGACTGTGAGTCTCATTGCTGCGGCAGTTATATACTGATGTAGTCATCCTCTACTTTGTGACCTGAATGTACACCCCCCATTTTTGTATCATGCTAATTTTGCATAACAACCTGGTCTTTGGACCTGCCCATGTCAATGTGTATGAAATTAGTCTATTAGATACAGTGGTTCCAGCGTGAGCCACAGTAGTATTGGCAGTGAGTTTAATGTTAATGAATCAACTTATATATCTTTAAGCAAAAATACACATAAAACAATTGTTGAAATTGAAGAAAATTGATTAGTTGAAGAAAATGTATTGAACAAATGTTATAAACAAACTTCATAAAGACAACTTTGTGTTTCCTCTAAGAGCAATGATTCCATATTTGCTGAGTCAATGTTCTCTGTGACTTTTAGAATTTTTGTTATGAATAATAAGAATCAATAGTTCTTTATATAAGTAGTCTAGGTAAAAAAATGTTTCTCACAGATTTTTTTAAATCCCATTTTGTAAATGCTAATGAATTAAAGATCTAGGTGTGGTAGTTATATAATCTGCTGTCAATTTGAGAGGATTAAGAGTGAAGGGGTGGAGTTCAGCCTGTCAATCAGGTCACAGCTTGATGACCTCATTTGGAAGAGCTAAGGAGATAAATAGCTCACTGGAGGCAGGACACAGATTTAGTTCCTGTGAGACATTCTTGCTGACAAGTCACATGGTGACAGGCTTGGCCAGAACCTCAGAGCTGGAGAAGCCACATGGAGACCCCAGCCAACGCTGAGATGATTCCACCACCACTGGATCCACAAGACTTTGCAACCACTGGCCTGTGATCGTCCTGCATTCGGCATCATTGCATGTGTCTCATGAGTCTGAAGAGGACTTTATAGATTGGTATTGGCCATACGGGCTAATACCAGACTTATTGACTTGATCTGGACTGGGCTGGGGTGTTTTCTCAATATTCAATTGTTCTTGAATATAAAACTCTCTCATACACATATGATTGTCTATGAATCTGTCGGTCTAGTCTACCCAGACTAATAATCATTTGGGCTGGGAAAGAGACAAAGGAGATACAATCACATATAAAAAGTACACCGCATCACCTGTAAAGTCGTCTTGCCTCCCAAACTGAGCCTCTAAATTTATCAGTGATGGATAAATGGGAGTTCATTACATTATTAACTAATCTCCATAATATTTGAAAATTTCTATAATATACCCATTTCCACCAAGTAGATTCCAGCTCCTAATAATGACCCTATAGAGCAGAGTAGAACTGCCCCATAACATTTCCAAGGCTGTAAATCATTACAAAAGCAAATGGCTACATCCTCTTCCCATGGGGCAGCTGGTGGGTTTCAAACTGCTGATGTTTCGGTTAGCAAACAAGCACTTCACCACCGGGCCCCTTCTATAATGAAAAGCTTTGTAAGTGTTCAAAATATTTGTATGAAAGAAAGGGAAGTGGGGAAAAAGCAAAATAGTCCATAATCCATTCATATGTAATTCTTTCCTTTCCTGCCTTGTGGGTGTGTTTAAAGTCTGTTTTTCACTCATATGAAAGAATTTCCCACAAAGTCCACCCAAATAAGCACCTTCCTACAGAATCAAAACAGAACACCATGGAATGTGGTGTCTGGAGCAACTTCCCTTCTCTGCCAGAGAATCACATGAGGTTTTCAAAGCAAGATCTTTGTTATCAGTTGTTCATTCTCGTTCTCATACCACGTCCATCTGCAAGATTAAAATACATATCTGTACATACAGATGCACAGATATGTATTTTAATAGGTGGCCAGGAGGTGGAACTGACTACAGTTAAAGAGGGTTAAAAAGTAGACATGGACAAGTACCAAAACCATTCTGATTTCTAGCCCTTGAAACAGCCAGCAGCTAATCGGAGTATAAGAGACATAGGATGTCTAGCCCTTCGGGTACAAGGTCTGGGTAAAAAGTGTCCTTATACCTGTGAGTTGCTGCAGTGCCACTTTAATTTACACACACACAAAAAGGATAAGGTGGTGTAACAGAAAAGGGATGAAATAATGATGAACTCTCTCGAGTTTCTTCCAAACATAAGAAGTAAGCAGCTCCGATGCCATGAAAGGCTATGAGTGGGAAGTTTGTGACCCATGAAGTCGATACTGCTGGAAGCCTGAATGAAAAGTTGAAAGGCTTTTTTGGTTAGGCCAGACTAGATAGATAGTGAGGCAATTAGCATCATTCATTGCTGCCAAGGCATTGGGCCAACGTGAATGACAACCCAAACTGAATGAAGCAGAATAGAAAATAGAAAAGCCTTTAATGAAAATGTTGGAGAACTCACAAGGGATGGGGAAAGTGCCAAATAACTGGAAGATGGCTAAGGAAACTAAAAGGTCTATTCTCCCATCAATGCACGAGGGATTTACAAGTTTAACTCTCATTGCTGTTAATAAGAGTTCTATGTGTGATCCAAGGGTGTATTCATGGGGAAAATGCATGAATTAGTGTCTCGATTGGCCTCTCTTGAGCCAACACTGGCAAGTGCTCCAAATTGTGTGCTGGTTTGGTGACAGGGACTAACAGGGGCTAGACTGAAAACCAGCGACCCGACTCAGCCTCACCTTGTAATCCTCTGATAGTACAAGATCCCTTATCAGCAAAGAATAAAATAGATCCTATGCAGTCGTTCATCGTTTAATTTGGAAATTAGCTTTCAGAAAATTAAAGTAAAAGAAAAACGTGAAAAAAGGCAAAAGTTAAATAGATCGGTTTAAAATATGGTTTCCGGAACATATTTTCATTTTCTACCAGGAGAGAATTATTTTAAACTTTTTTTATATTTGTTTTTAGCTATCCCACTCCCTACTGTGTGGCAAACATCATATGAGATGCTTTCCTGAGAATTCTGCATAGTTTGTGCAATTAGTCTATGAGGTAATTAAGCTTGTCCCTATTTCACACATCAGGACAGAAAAACTGAAATATGAAGGAAACTAGCCTGGGGTCAACTAGCTTGAAAGTGGATGTCTGGCTTTCCGACACCCCTCCTCGTGTGCCTACTGTAAATTCCCAACCGCAGTTCTCCCCTGGATTCTGTCCACGTAACATAATCCAAAGTTAATCTTCAGAGGCAGAATCACAGGCAGATTTTACATTTTACTAATAGCATCCCCGTTCAAAAAAGAAAAAAAATGTGAGCAATTTTTGTAAAGTAATTAAGCTAATATTTTCATCCTACGTATATACATTACAACGAGTAAACAGTTGTTCAGTTGATGATGTGCTAGGATCTCTAATAAAATAGGCACTGATCTCAAGATCAGTCCAGTTTAGTGGGAAAAATAGACATAAACAGCTCATTAAGACACAGTTTGCTGCAGGAGGCAGAGAAGGTAAGAACAAAGTTCTATGGGGGCACATTATGCCATTTGTGCCTTTTGATGCCTTAATGTAATAGCAATTTCTCACTGCTCGAATTCACTGCCACTGAAACCCACTTTACCGAAAGATCTCAATAAAGTTCTGTTAGAGGCTCAATATTTTAATTCATTTACAGCAAAGTCTTCCTGCACCAAATGTCTCGAAAACAGGTGCATGGCAAGTACCAGTAAACCCATATTGTTGGTGGAGAAATAGTGGCTCAACAGAATGAAGTAACTTCCAGAACTCAGAAGGGATTCCCTGTGCCACACTTTAGTTCCCCCAGCAGAAAATCAATGTTTCTACCAAATTCTCACTTAACCTAAAGTAAGTCGCTTTTAAAGACTCTTCAAA